TCAAGAATTTACAGACTCTTTTACCCTATTTTTAATTTGCCTACTTTCTGGTGGGTGCGAAGACTGTAGACCTTAGTTTCATGGATTGTGTAGCCATCTTGAATTGTACCCTTCTGTGGACCTTTCAATTGAACATCTCATGCATTTTTACCAATATAGGCCCTTTCGGAGGGGAAGAAAAGACAACAAAAAGTGTTTGATCACACTCGGCAGCGGCATAGAAAAAGTGGAGAGCATGGTGTATCCTCAACATTGTGACTTGTAATGGGATGACAAGTTGTCTTACAAAAGTAACAAAGCTTTTCTAAACATTACAAATTCTCAGCCTGATACTGCTGTGTCCGATATACTGCTATTCTGATCTGATGTGGCTGTTAATTTATAAACATACTCTGCTCTTGGAAACATTTATGCAGAAACTCGATCAGAAAACAACATACTGCTGAATGGTGACGCAGAAGAAAGCCTTAGGCGCTGGATATATGAGACAGCATCCAAGACTTCAAAGCTAACACCAGCAGTCAGTTGATTAACCTTTTCATTCTTTGTCATCATCAATCTTGTTTTATTTTGGTAACTTCTCTTTTTGTTTTCCTATTACTAAATTAGAGGAGCTTTGGTTTTATTTTTATGTATTTTTGGGTAACTAAGAGAGATTTCTTGTACTCGTTCAGTTAGGGTAACAGCAAAATGAATCACCGTTTCATTTTTCTTTCTTTCTATTTATGGGTAATTGTTCGTTTGCCCTCTTTCTCTCGCGCACGCACACAGAAGACACTTCCCACTTCCTAGCTTACCCTTTTCTTACTAATAAGTTGGAGTGATCTTTCCAGCTTTAACTATAATATTTGGAAGAAATAGTAAAGGTTGTGCATGAATACCCTTATGTTTTAATTATCATATTTGGAAGAAATCATGGACTTTAACTTTTTTGTTTATTAGTTTATCTCCTCGGGAAGTTCCTTCTATGATTCTCTTTGTGAAAAGAATCTCCTCCATTTGTCAAATAGGATGCTAGGTGAACGTACTATGTGAATTGACATTCTGTGAATTTTGAAGAATATGCCTTCTTTTTTCCACAGTGACAGGAAATCAGAAGAAACTTGGACTCCTTTTACAACCACTCCTGCCCATACTGTTTCTAGCTTACAACTTCGTTAATATTATTGCACTCATTGTCCACGGAAAATTCATTGTCCACTGAAAAATACATTTACAGAGAATTAAAAATATCGAGATAAACATTTCTGTACTTTTAACCCACCGGCCAGAGTAACTGTACCTCCATAAGATTCTTTAATTTAGGTCTATTCTGTGTTTTGGTTTTGATGTTGATAGTTAGTTGTATTCTGTCCTAAAATCTGATGACCTAATGAACTAGTTAATTTGCCTTCACTGCAGTACTGCAGATCATTAACCTTGCTTGCGTTGATATTAAATCTTGCTGAAGGTTTCTGATTTTTTCTTATTTTAATTATGTGTTTTTTTATATCTAATGTTTCCTTTTTGTTTTATTATAATTTAACTTTCAACTATGTTGTTATTTTGTCTAAATCAATTTTGTGAATTGTGAAAATTTTTCAGGCAGGGAAGCTAGACATAAATGTTGCCAGGCAATCCGCAAGCCATTTATGTCATCAAGTAAACTAAGCAGTGATCCTGCTCTTGGTGGAAAAGCTGTAAAGGTGTGATTCCAGTAAAATCAAACACTTATGTATAAAATATGATTTGGAGGGATCAAATCATGCGACAATGCTTGAAAACATGTCCACGCAACTTTGTCCGACACCATGTGTTTGAGGGCTCATATATGGCGTAATGCATGGTCACAAGCAACTCTTCCTCCCGTTATTATGGGCTTGTCTGTGATGTCAATCTCTTGACAAAAATTGTGTACAAACAACTACTGATATGTGGGTTTTCTTCTCCCTTGTGTCTGTAGTTGCATGAACCTGTTCAAAGGGGTCCATACCTGGCAGGAAACACACAGATTTTAACTTGTGACTTGACATAAAACTATAGGATTTTAAGATATACAGGCGACAGAATTTTTTAATCTGTACTTCATGTCTGGAATGGAATAGGCTCTCGTAATTCACCGGAACTGAAAACAATTTAAGGGCTTAAATTATGATCTGCATCTGTTAAAATGGGGTTGGGGTTACTTATTGATGCCTAGCCTTAGTCACTGATACAAACTCGGTCTAGAAATTACACCACGGAATCGAAGTTGTAAGCATCGTATGTAAGTCCGCCCATCAAGTACTAGCTAGGTCATGGTTCTGTAACAGTTTACAAAAGCTGCTAGACTCTCCCAAATTCCCAATTGATGAAATTCAAAGAAAAGTACTCTCATTTCACTACTTATTTATACATTTTTTTCAAAATTCAAAATCAACTATTAATACTCCTTTTTATCAGAGGAATGGAAAAATAAATGAAATGGAACAAGTAAATGATAGATGAGACTTCTTTAGGGAAGAGAAGTGTCTCTCTCATTTTTTTGTTTAATTAAATAAAAAGGATGATTAGAGTAACATAAATTTTTATTTTTATTTTTTCCAAGTTTGAATGGTAGGAAAAGAGAGTTTTTATATTCTTCGTCCTCCTCTCAAATTTAGGAATAGAAAAATACAAACAAGGCCAATAATATAGCACCCTTGTTCAATAGGACGCGATTATTTTCTGTAAATAAGGAAAATATTAGGTAATTATTAATATTTTTTTCCAAGATCACAACCCTTTCTTTATATATATATATATATAGTGCTTTTATGCATATTTAAATCAATTATTTTTAAAGTCACATTCAAGCATTTAAACAAAAGGAAAATGATATATATATAAATATTTTTTTGATGTAAATAAGTTACACAAAAAGTTACCTTTCATAATTTTAAAAAAAAAAATTTCCTTAATTTTTTTAATTTTTTACTCACACACGCACCTTCACTGAGGTTTGAATCCCTAGCCTCCCTTTGGGAAGTAGGGGTCTGGTATCGCTAGGTCACGGGCCTGTTGGTACCTTTAAGAAATTATTATTATTATTATTATATTTACATGTAAAATACATTTCAGAAAATATTTTTATATTTAATGGTGTTTGGTTGTTGTAAAATAATTACGAAGAAAAAAGTATTATAAACTAACAAAAATAACTTATCTATCAATTTTCAACAAGTTATTTTATACGTTTCGGTCGACAGACTCGGCCTCAACGGCTCAACTTAGACTTTTTCCAAACACCAAAAAAATTATATATATATACATTACCTTACAAAGGTAAAAAGAGAAAAATCAAAAAAAATATTTTACGCGAAAACAAACCTAGCCTCAATGTCAAATGGATAGATTTGATAATCCATTCACTATCAATATTATAAAAAAATATATTAAAAATCACTTCTTAAAAAGTTAAGTTCTAAAAAAGGGACACTTAATTTAGGATGAATGAAAATCACTTCTTAAAAAGTTAAGTTCTAAAAAAGGGACACTTAATTTGGGATGAATGAAGTAGTATTTAGAATAATTAAAAGAATTTATAGCCAAAAAAAAATGTTTTGATTTTGAAATGCCTTTCTTGTTATTTAGGATTCTTATTAATTTTTCAATATATTTCTATTTTTTTTTTAATTAACCAAATGTTTTTTTTTCTTTTTTCTTAAAAGTCATGTCAACTCTAATGAGTTAAATACTTCACTTTTGGACTCAAAATTTTGAAGTCATTACTCGTTTGGCATAGCTTTTGCTTCCGCTTTTACGCAGAAGAAAAAGAAAAGCAAAAGTTATCCCTTCTATTTAGCTTATTTGTCAGTATTTGGAAAATATATTTTGGAATAGCTTTTAATGGTAGAAGAGTTTTTCGATCTGTTTGGCAAAATATTTACGGAAGCTCTTCTACTACTGAAATAATTATTTTACCCTTAGATAGAGTATTTTTTTAAATTATTGTTTAACATGTTTTTTTTGTAACTCTTTTTGTAAAGACATACAAATAAACCACTCAGTTTAATCAAATTTATCCACAACATGCCATATGCAACATAATAATTAATAATACTAATAATAATAAAAAGAATAACAATTAAGATATTGCAAAAAACTATTTAACCATTTAGAAAATTTTGTAATTGAACATTTTGATTCTACCAAAATATAATAATTAGAATAATAAAATTTGAAGGTTTCTAATTTTTCTTCCAAAAAGAAAATAATTAATCTCATGCTTTATGACTTTCCTAGAATAATATTGTTGTTTCCTTATAATTACAAACTTAATTATATTAACTTAATTATTTTATAAGGAAATTAATGAAAAAGAAGAAAGAAAAATATTGCTACGCTCAACGTTAAATTGCAATGTAGGGAAGATCTATGACGGTGAATTAATCTAATAAAAAAAATGCTATGCGGATGAATTAATCTGATTAAAAAAATAACTTTATTTTTGGGTAAATAACTGGAATTCATTGTTGCAACAAAAGGTAATTCAATTTGAAGGTGAAAAAAATCTAAAGATTTGTGACGGTAGGATGCAGCGTTAAAATATGGTGATTACTCCTATGAAAACCAGTGATTGTTCATCGGGGAGTTTTGAAAATATTTAGAGAAAATAGGGAGAAAAAAAAAAGAAGAAAAAATAGGCAAGAGAAGAAATACCAAGGTCAAATGATAAATTGGAAAATTAAAGGAGCAAAGCCACCAGTTATCTCTCGCAATAATCTTCTTCAATTTTTTTCTCTGGTTGAATGCTTGATGGATCGTTCTTGTGAGTATGAAGGGATATGTTGCCAAAGAACACCGATGTGAGTTTTTTTGAGACTAGGGTTTGGAAATAGAATTAAGGGGTTTTTTTATAGGGATACGATTGGAATTATAATTTGTTATGAGATAATATAAAGGGTACACTTGTCATTTAAAAAGTTTCATTAATCCTCCCAAAACTCTTTCCGTGTATTTTAAAAGAGTGGTTCGGAGAAGTTAGGGCAATATTGACTAAA